GTGCAAACGTCAGTGCAATTAAGGACGACACGTGACGAGCTCTGAATACGCTACAGTCTTCTAGCTATAGTATTTTGCTATTGTGTAGCTTTCTCAATAATAATTTATAAGATTAGTCATAAAAAATAACATCAGAATAAATTCATATATAAGCCTATAACTGAAGATCTCATATAATAATAATAATAATAATAATAATAATAATAATAATAATAATAATAATAATAATAATAATAATAATAATAAAAATAATAATAATAATAAGCCATTAACTAGAATACATTTGTATAATAGGCCTATCAAACATTAAAGTTTTCTTCCGAAGCCAAGCTTTAATAAATTTTGATTCGTTTGGAAATGCTTGTTAAAATAGGCAGCTCCTTCCTACGGTAGTATCACAGCGTACAAGATACTGCAGGCATGGTGCCAGGCCACCGTTAAAAGAGTTATATATGCCTGTGCTAATGGGTACCGTAGTATCTGTTTAAAAGAAGGAACAATATAAATGAAATGTAATTGAATTGTATCCACAATTAATACAAACACATATTAAGATGATCACATTTTTTGATCTACTTTTTTTACTACGAGAATCCTTATATTGATTTTCAGCCATTTGAGGGTCAATAGAAATTGTGCAGGCCTACAGAAATGACGTGTCTGTAATTGGCGAGATTTGTTTTCTTCTAATTTCAAACGAAAGCTATAGCAATGTAATACCTTACATCATGGAAGTAAGCCTATACCCCCTGGATGTGTTATGATGTATGGAAACTACAGAAACAATTTATATATTTTAGTTTATTGCATATTTAGCTACACACTGACAGCAATATATCTGGGCTAATCCGTCATATATTCGCATCCGCACGGAACATTTATGACAGTTTACCCTGAGTGTCCTTGAAACAGTTAAAAAACCAAATAAATAAACTAATAATAGAGGCCCATACAGGCATATAACAGAGCAAAGGGAACATGGGATACCGGTTGCGTGTCTTTGTATGTTGTGAAATAATAAACGACCAGGAATCTTACACACAGACAGACATAGGCCTACATAAACATCTGTTCCCCAATACACTACTGTACCCCTAAATATCCAAGCAACTACATCATGTTTGAGACCTACACTAGCCAGTGTCTACGGAATGAAATTCTAATGATATAATTATATGACTGCAAGTCCACTTATGAGTATTATGACATCGGACTGAACAAAAGAAAACGTGCGCCTACATGCCTGTATACATTAGTTTTTTTATGTACCTTGATAAAGACCTAGGATCGAAATATTGATTTTTTCCAATGAAGAGTTTCTAAAGACCATACAATGGAATTCGTTTCTTATGTTTTTAGTATCGTACAGAAACACAGGTGGAACCTTGTACATATACATATATACATTATATAGGGCCTATACATTGTTCTCTACATTAAATAAGCTTGTATAATATTAATATATAAAAGAAAGGGTAGAGCTTTGGCATGATTCCTATGTTCTATCTATTTCGATAGAGTTCGATTCCTAAACACTTTTTTAAAGCATTTTTTTAAATAAAGATCTCTTTGTGCTCGCTCTTCACAATATTCTGTCTGCATGCTAGTTGCACGCTATGCACACAATGGTTTACAAACTCGAGTTTAATCACTATAAAATCTCTCATTTTAACAATTCAACAGTATGGTATATTGTATAGCATCGTCCATGCATTAACACAAGAATACAAAATATTTTAATCGTTCTTTCTCTGCAATTAACCTAGGTCACAGAGTTTCCGGTAATTTTGGACTTACACAGTTGGTAAACCATAACTTTCCAAAGATGGCTTAGGCTAATACTATCAATGATTTATAAGAAATTATATTCAATAGCAAGGGAGTAATTAAATCGAAGTAAGATAAACCAGGGAGCAGTCATATTACAATATGACTGCTCCCTGGCCTACATGCATGAAACCGCAGTCATCGAATAACAAAAAGCCTTGTTTACTTTTCAGCTGTGAAGTCTACAAATATTGAGAACAAAATATGAACACACGTCACACAAGTAGGGCTACCAATACGTATATCGTTTGCCCATATTGCAACTGACCCAAGAGCGTTGATTTTCTTTTCTAATTTGCAAAAGGTGGTGACTACTTGATGTTGTAACGACGGGAGATTACAGTATCTCCGAAACACAAGAAGCAATATTGATCCTAACAAACTTTACTCGAGCTATTTAGAATGATTTGGTTCTTTTTTGATGATCAAATTAATATTTATTTAAAAAAATATTTAAAAATGACTCGCACGACGTTTTGTAGATTAAGTATTCTATCAGAAAAAATAAATATTGGATTATCAAAAAAGAATCAAATCATTCTAAATATTTGACATTGGATCAAGAAGTATTCAACCAATATACACTTTATAAGAACACATTTTATAAGAACACTGAGGCTGAAATTGCTTAAAAATTAAGAACAAAATAAGAACAAATTGAGACTGAGGTAATATTTCAAATGAAGTTTATATTTTTAAAAACCAAAATATTGTATCTGTACATAATGTGCATTAGGTGGCCATTTTTTGTGGGGTCACTTTCTTTCACGTACGTTCCAGTACAGTGCATACTGCCGTACAATTAAATAATTTTTTGTTTAAAAGGTTTGTAAACTAAGAACAATATAAGAACATTTTGAGCCCGAAATCGACCAAAAAATAAGAACACTGAGCCTGGGCAAAATGTTACTAGTTCTTATAAAAAAAAAGTGTATACGTAGCAAAGCAAAAATGAATGCGTTTAATTTTATGCTGATAACAGACTTGGAGTCTGATTCACTTACGGTGGGATGTTCACAATAGGAGTGCAAACGTGTGGGGCAAGGTGTGAAGCCACCGAAATCATGTTACGGTCCAGATATGATTCAATTTGACAGTGATGCAGTGCATATCTTCTTGTGGATTGCTATCTGCGCAGAATAATCATACCTGCCTGCTGCGGAACATTAATGCAATAAGCTGACCAAAATAATGCAGGCCTCTTCCATCTGGCAATCCATGTAAGAACTTTACACCATGCTGCCAACTCCTCGCTAATGTAGTAGCGTCAGTCCGGGCAACAGCACTAGGCCAGGTGTCATGTACCGTACTAAAGCTTTTGAATCAGATCAGGCCTCCACGCTATAGAGGCTGCCGACCGTATGTCGACTGAAAATGTGATTGATGACTAAAAATACGACTACCGAAATTCCTATAATTATATATCAATAGTCTTTAGACAGTAATATATTATACTGTACATACTAAGTTTTGACAAGCGAAAATCTACTCGGAGCCAACGAATTATGTGATTTAATCTCTTTTCACTTTATGAAATCTACAGGTAGGCCTAATTAAAAAGTTGCATCATATTATATTTATTTTCACTTTGGAGTGAAGTTGGAACACCTTCAAACATGTAGGTCTACATTGTATTACACGTAGCTAGGCCATTGGTGTCTACGGACCGTCATGCCATGTGACGTTGCGTATCTTGCGTGAGTTGAGGCTCGAGGCTCACATAGCAGCGAGTTGGGCCACAGTCCAATACGGAGCAACACTTTAATGTGTTTCCTGCACTCCCAACTTTCCAGTTGCATGATTCTGTCATTTCCAGATTATCAAAGCATGAATTGAAGTCAAAACACACCTCGATTGTTGTATGCGATTGTTGTAACTGATCATTCTCCGCTCAATCAGTCACTCAATCAACGGTAAACGTACACAACTGCTATAGAATGGTTATTTACAGAGCAAAAGACTGTAAATTGTACTGTATGTGGGCAATACTCTATTGCGAACTTTGCTGCTTCTTTGCCCGTGACCAGAAATATAAGGTTCTTCAGACTTACAAGACACAAAACGCTAATATGATTATACTGTCATAATAAAGCTGGGACAGGTGAATACTGATAGGCCTACGACCTTTTGCCACAGCCCCCACCTCAACAGACAACGGAAGTCGCTGGCTCAAAAGGTGCTTTACTCTCACTCCACACGATCTCTCGATCCGACGGCCCTGGTTTTCACCTTGTAGTTCAGTTTAGCCATCATGATCACCTGTTCTAGGCCTTTTTATGATCTTTACCGTTATTAGGTCAGACATTATTTTCTTTTCAATTCAACAAATCTAGATAATCTCAGGTCGATTAGGCCTAAATAGCTTCGTAACAAAACAATTTTTGTTCAAACGGAATAACAATGCCACAACGAATTTAATGGCATAAAATGCTTGGTACTTTATTTATTCGGGCATTTTTGTGTTCAACAGCACTCGCGCAGCAATAATTATACGTATCGATCCTTTATACATATCATAAGTATTACCGTATGTGATTACGAGTCAGTAATATTATTCCATGAGATATATACGTAAATGATTGATGTACGTGTAGTATTATGTTACTGAAGAGAGGTGCTATATTCTTACATGGTGAATAGATTACAAATATAAATGTTATTCACAGGTATGTTACATTATCTAATATTAGTCCTTTGTACTTTAACTGACGTCACAACCATAGAAACCAATATCTGTTCTACGCTGCGGTGCTCTAGTACAGTACTACCAAACATTCAATGGGCCTGTAAGAACCATTGCAAGTAAGCAGTGAAGCAAACTCGATATAAAAAAACATTCGGAAAAAAATGTATAAGTGAATTGAGCTTAAGTAATGATGTTAATGATTATGAAACGATTCTAATAATCATATCCTGATGGAGCGGAAGTGCCTATATAACTGCAGATACAAACATACAGATGAAGATTTGAGGTTTACGTATACTGTATTGTACATGTGAAAGGAAAAACGTCGATGAAAATAGGCATTATGCAACAATATAAAACAATTTTGGGTTCACCAATGTAGGCCAATGGTAATCGTCACGATAAGAAAAAAAAACATGTTAAAGTAGATGGCCAAAACAATGGTCCTTTGCAAATAACGCATGTTTAACACAAAAGTATAACTTACTTTCTGATTTTGAGGGCCAAGTCTGGCATAGACAGGCTTTAATATGCGAGTAACAACATTCTTTTTGTTAGATGTCCATTCCTCCTCAACGTCATCTATGTACAATATATCCCTGGCTGCGTCTTTTATATGTTCATCTCTCGTTCTTATGTCAACATCAACGTATGGACGTTGATTATAAGTCCAGGGTTGCTTTAATTTCTCAACCGAGCCTAGAAACTGCAATTGCGCTAATCCGAATACAGACAAGATAAACACGCTTGCCAGACGTATAAGCTTTGGTAGGCGAACCCACTTGACAGAAGCGGATCCCAAGTGTAGTAGAGACATGTCCGACAACAAGTTCCAGCTTCACGTCGATCAGAGAATCTCCATATTTAGTTCAGCTTTACTTAAATTTACAGACACGCTGCAGGGTCCAGGGAGCTAAATATCCAAAGGGCTATCCAAGGTGACAATTTATGACAATCAATCAGTCATCGACAACCAAACTCAAACGGTAAAACACGAGTAGGCCTATATTCACTGGGAAGTAGGAGTTGACGGTTATTATACACCGGTAGCGCATAATGCTTCACTCAACACCGGCTATAGACTCTTCAGTGCGTCCCAAACTCACATGTCATTGTGTTTGTTTGTCAATGAGTGATCCGAGCAAAATGGGGAAATAACTGTGACCGCAGAAAACTTACAAAACAAATGCAAGTGGGAAAGACAACATGCATAAGTCAATTCATACGACAGACGTACACATGGCTTTGTTGATATACGGCGTCCTTCAACTTTTAAATTAATTTCCAAAAAGTCGCAAGTGACATTGATACGAAATGACTCTTGCACCGAACGCGCTCCTGTAAGTTCACGCATGAGAATGAGTTCCGTGATCAAACTGCCAACGTTATAGCATGGCGGTACTGCAGTTCGGATATGATCAATTTACGCTTGATTTGGTAACCTCACAAACTAGCAACACAGTTATGGTTTGACAGAGATGGCGCTAACCATAAAACAAATATTTTGACTATAAATTCGCTGCTAAATCTAATACAGCATATTTGTATAAGTCTACTGACACGTTTGGGTGCCCAGTGTGAGCTGCAAAAGGTAAACAGACGATATCTTTTTATGATATACACCTTTCCGGGACGTCAATTAAACTTTCAAACCGATCAGAATGTGTTAATGTTCAATACCAATGAATACGCACATGCCTCACAAAACACGTAAGTTTACGTGCGCGCATATGATGCTCCTTAATGTTTGACACCTTAACAACACTATCCCAGGAATGGGGCTTATGAAAGTGTTTATTAAAAGTTAAATAGGCTTCAACAATCAATTTACTGAATATATCAATAATAATTATACTCTAATTCTAAATACATTAGATTCTTAAAAAAAAAAAAAAAAAAAAAAAAAACAAGCAATCGTAACTTTCAGTTAATTATACAACAACTTGGACTTCAATAAAACATATCACTGGAAAAATTTTAAGTGAAAAATTGTGGACAAACTTTTTGTAAAGCGATACCTAGCTCTCTTCAGATACGTATAAATAACTAAGTATCGAGTGGCCTAAAGTTATGTTCAGAAAATTATGCAATATCCACGTTTGTTTTATTTAAATTTGCTTTATTCGGAAACTTAAATACTCTCAATTGGTCGTCTTAAAAACAACTTTGCCAATAAAGTTTACTACCTATAGAGGGCGTTTTGTAAAAATGTTAATTTAAAGATATCAATGCAATGATAAACAATGGCAGATAAGTTAAGAAAACAGATTTATGATTATTGATATCGGACATAAACTCTTCATATATACGTTCCTCAGCAGTTGTATGAAAAGTGTTTCCATTATTTCTTTTCCTATTTATTATAATTGACCACTGTTTGTTTCTATTATTTAACGTACCTATTTGTAATTGTTTATGTTTCCACAGTCCTCGTGACAACTTTAGCTTATCATACTGTACTGTCATTTCTGCTGCGACTTTCCAGAATACTCCCTGGCTACTATTTTCCAATGTGTATGCATGGCTGTACCATATTAGTTAAAAAGGGGTGACCCGGTTGGATTGAATCTTATATCCGTTACCAAAGTATATCGAACAGCTCAACAAAGACACCTCAAATCCCTCCTTGAAGTGGAACAACTTTGTCAGAGGTTTTAGACACGAGAGATCATGGTCTCTCATAGTTCTGTTTGTGTTCGACTCCTTATATTATAAGCCTATACTGTATTACTATTGTGCCAGCTAATGTTATTTAATGTCATTTATGAGAAGTTGAATTCTTGAGTACCGCATGGTATTTCATGAAGAAGAAAATATAGCACCCACCAAGCTACCGACCGCCCTCTCGCTTAAGCTCGGTTTCCATAGAATCGCAACCGATTGCGTTGCAGACGAATCAGGGTGAAATGCTAGCTGCCCTGACGCTATCGGGAAGGCATTCCCGTTCGTCTGCAACGCAATCGGCAAAGTTAAACCAGGTTCAACCTTTCCGACTAATATCGGCGACTGTCGCCGATAGGGTGAGCGATTCTATGGAGACCTGACCGAGCTTGAGACAGTGCCTATTTAACACAAACAAAAATTGAATTAATTTCTTTTATAATAGGGCCTATATATAAATAGAATTATGCATAAACCAAGCTACTCGGAACACAAAATTGTAATGTTTTTATTCTAACTCTCATATTGCCAAAAACACAGCTGGATAGGAAAACCTGGTTCCTCAGTAAAATAGTGACAGAAAACAGAGAACCAATACCATCCAGTAACACACAGGCCTACAAAATATCAATAAAAAAATAATGAAATTATGAAAGTGTAGGTCTAAGTATCATTCAAATAACAAATGCACCTATTTTGGTGGTGATGTTTGCGCTTTAAAAATCGTTATTATTATCATTATTATTATTATTATTATTATTATTATTATTATTATTATTATTATTATTATTATTATTATTATTATTATTTAAATATATTGTAAAACCAGCCCTGCTGAGGTTCTTGTGTCATCAGGTAGCTTGACAACAACTAAAATGTCGTGACGCCCTCTAACAAATCAACACGGTAAGAGGGGAGATTAATATCAAAAGCTGTCAAATATAAGAATGAACATTAATCGTTTCGTTTGCAGGCTACTCAATTTAAAATTAACCGCAGAAATCGATACATTCTTCTGCTTCTTTTCAAACTATATTTTCACCAACAACATAACCGTGCCATTAATTGGAACTGCGTCTAGGTCACTGGCGGCACTTACCGTAAAGTAATAAAATATTCTCAAAAAATTTCACCTGTATTATTATTATTATTCGAACACTGTATTTACCTTTCTTTGATGATTAATATATATTATTTAACTGTGTGTCTATATTGATCAAATAATACAAGAGTTTTTGCATCATTATTTTTGTTTTATTATTTGAACACACGTGGACCAATGTGACTGTATGGATTTCGGTAGAGACACAAATGTGATAAGCAGCTGAAATGTACAGGTAAGAAATAGAATCAGAGCTTTTGAACAACACATTGGCCTCTTCAGTTTTCACATCTCTATCTGACTTTATTTGGAAATTTGTTAGTCTGTGTTTGTTTCCATACAACTGGGTCGAGTATCGATTACGAAAACAAAGAGAGAAATAATTCGTACTTTTATCGTAGGCGCGAGTTGATTAAATATATGTTTAAACACAAGGTTTTGTAGGCTACTTCTCACAAACTGATACGAACTTTCCAAAATCGAACAACTTATTGCGCATTGAACTAAAAGGTTTACATACATTTTGTATTGGGCTAATAAATGCTCACTTCCCGTATTTAAATTGCTTCCATATTATATTGAAGCACTGGAGTGTGTTAATTAATTTTTAATTCATGGCCGGCAGATACCGGGGTGGGGGAGGGGCGCCCCCACCCACTTTTTGACAGAAAATGTCTATGGAGATTTTGTATTAACGGATAGAACTGCAAGAAAAGAAAGGGGGAAGAATGAGAGGGAGTGGAAAAGGGTGTTTATTCAGTCCCCGACCGAGTTACACTGTAAAAACAGCGTGGAGCATTTAACACAAAGCTCCACGCAATGTTGTCCCGTTTTTGGTGATACGTTTAAAAGCTAAACGTGTTTAGTAGATATATCTTAATGTGCTTAGGATCTTAAAGTCTTTAGCGTTAAATTTGCTTAGGTATTTGACATCATGATCACATCTAATGCTAAACACTTCAAGATCCTAAGTACATTAGGCATGGCCCTAAACACGTTTAGCTTTTAAACGTGTCATAAAAAACGGGACAACATTGCGTGGAGCTTAGTGTTTAAATGATCCACGCTGTTTTTACAGTGTACATTTTCTCGCAATTCACATTGGTGGATCTGGGGGTCAAAGATCCTCCCTTAGGCAAAAAAAAAAAAAAAAGACCTGTGAGATCCTCCCTTAGGCAAAAAAAAAAAAAAGACCTGTGAGCTGATTTTTTTTTTTTTTTTTGGTTACAATAAGAAAACAAGAAGTAGGGAAATCTCATTTCCCGCCATCTAGGAATCGAAATTTTCCCGGGGGAGCGCCCCACCCCCCCCCTTCTTTTTGGGATTTATCGATTCATGGAAAAAAAACACGTATGCAACTACTCATTTTTTTTATGTACTATGTACAGTATACACACATAACAGGCCTAGCCTATTTACTGTAATAAGAATGAGAAACGGTTTACCTGACCGTTTTCAAGGTGGAAAACCTTGAATTAAAGGACACCTAGCTCAAAGTCAAGAGCTCATTTCCCGCCATCTTGGAATCACAATTTTCCCGGGGGAGGACCACCGGACCCCCTTCCTTTTAGGGACTTTTGAGAAAAATGTTGGTTCCCACCCCCTAAATTTTTAACCCATACATATTTCGCTTTATATCTTACTGGTGCCCCTCCCCCCCCCCCCCCCCCCCCCCCCCACTTTGAGAAACGTTCCGCCAGCCCTGTAATTGAAAAATAAAACATCAAAAAAACGTCTTTCCAATTATCTGATAACGTATAATATCAATCCTGTTTCTTGTATAAACATAAATTGACTGGCAGCTATGGATTGTAAAAAAGGTAAATAAAAAAAATAAACTTAATTGATCTCTGTATTAGAAGACAGTTCAATATTTTGATTTAACTTTGGATGGTTATTCTTAATGCTATATCGCATCAGTCTTAATTATACAATTTAAGGGATTACTGTTTTGATTTGCTGGTAAGAACGAATTCAAAAGGGAGATTGCCTAATTAAAACAAATGTCCAGTTTATCTTATTTTTAAATATTTAGTATCCATTGAAATTATGAACTTTAACCAACAGTTTCGGGGAATGACCGTTGTTACAAAAGTTCACAGGAAAGCACGACTACCGCAAGCATTAGAGTGAATAGCCGTCTAAAATTTTAATCTATAGCCTATGACAGAATAAGTGCCAATAAAAATCATATTGAAACTAATGCGTTTAAGTTTAGTTATGGCAAATGGTCTCAGTTGAACACCAACACAGCATTGCTAACAATTGCATATGTTAAACGTATGGGAATTCCCGCAGCTGTTTTTTACGGACTTGTGCTAAAGTCTGCAAGGCGAGTACGTAGGATTCAAACTCCTTTACACCTCCTTTTGGTAATTGCTTTACGTTATCATGATTGTTTGCTGTTTGTTAAAAATCATCCGCCGGGACTTCGCTGCAATCTGTTAGTATTTGGTGATGTTTGTATTACAAGTTAATTCAATTCACTTCAATTCAATAATCTTTATTCATCAACATAATTACAATTTAGTAATATAGATGAATTATAGCATTGTCGATAAATCGGGATCACCGCTGGAGAAACTCAGTAAAGCTTGTTAGATGCTGACCCTTGGTGTATAAGTAGGCCTATTAAGAATTTGAAATATACAATGGGGTTGAAATTTTAAATCTAGATTACCTAAGACCATAAGAACACCAATAAACTGGCTACGATATCGACATTTATATCCGAAAAAAAACAAAACAAAACAAAACAAGTCATTAATTGTATAACGAATAGGCGCAAAGTGTAATTAATAGTTTTTACTTTGCTCCTTCCCACAGATTTCGTTGTGTAGGTCGTTTTGCTTTAAAATATGGCTTGTTTCTTTTAATTGCTTCGAGATTGTCATTATTTTTATCAAATTTACTAGGAGGCAAATTCAAGTTAATACGGAGTTTTAAATTAAAAATCGGAAAAGATCAGATTGATTTTATTGTTCCGTGTATGATATGTTGGTGTTTTCCATACTTTTACGATATCCTAATATAGTTACTCAGTCTTTTTTGCTCTTTCATTTTGTGCAGGGTTGCATGAATTAATTTAAATTCTCTTCTTTTGAATGTTGTCTTCGTTGCTTTCAAGTGGGTTAGGAGTATTGTGGTTTGTCGTTCTTTCTATTACACCTAAAGACGGGATTAAATTGAATGCCTTTTTGAACTGTTTTTAATGTGCAAACACTCTCGAACATATAGTTAAATATTGAATTCTCATTTAAAGGGATCAAATTATTAATTAACATTTATTACCATATCGAAATGATTACATTTTAGCTGTTTACAAACCGGTTACTACGAAATTAATTTAAGTGAAAGATAAAGCACATAACGAATAGTCGGTATTATTTGCGTTTACTGGTTGGCGATGGTTTTTTATTTTTGTTAATGTTACTTTTAAATATGCACTGTACGTAATGCTTTTATTGAAATTTATGGTTAAAATACAGTACATTTAGCTCAGTTTATATTAGATAAATCAATCGATTATGGTTAACTAAATATTAGATGATATATATATTGATCGGTGGGTTTTAATTTGAGTGAATAATACATATTCATTGGCATTGTTGTCTCCAAGTTATGTTTCGTGCACCTTCGTTTCAAGAAAGATGTAAGGCAAATGCAACAGCATAATCTAATACAAAAAAAAATCCTAGCACGATTTTTGCTCACATATGGGTGACATCAAGATCATCCAAACCAAAGTATGTTTTATTGTAATTTTACTGACAGGAAACCTAAACACATAATAGGCCTACTATAGACGGTATAACAATAATAGGCATAATAGATCACTTTAAATACAGGACAAACACACAAGTTACGTGTCAATTGCATCTCACATACACAGACATCTAAATTTAAAAAGGGACTTCATAAGTGAGATTATGTCTTGGTCGTTGTATTGTCGTGACCCTTTCACGGTAACCACAGCAATTTCGAGACAAAACCGAGTTGAGACTCCGCCATTGACGTGCATTCAGGCGACATACGCGCGACACAAGTTCCTTTTATCCACCCTACTCACTGCGCTGATTCACTTGTCTATTTCTAGAAACTACGTTATTATTCAACTGGCATCGTTGCTAAGTCTTTAAGACTATGGATGAGTTGGTGTGTGTGTTAGCGTCACGCATGTGACCGTCTTTGTGCAGGCCCCGTGGCATACTTCAACATGTGTTTTCTTTGTACGAAATTCCCACACATTTATAGAATGTACTTTGTCGTCATCGACGAGGGACTTCCACAGCAAACGACATGCAAAGTATGTTAAGTAACATTATTAGGCGGGATATTTTTTCTCTCATTTTCTTAAAGTAATATTTACGGCGAACGAATATTCTAAAAAAACATTGAACATAATGAATAAAACTTTTAAAATGTAGGTCAATTTATGATGGTGGCAATTTCAAACAAAATCATGTTACGAAATTATTAAACGTACCTCCAAATAGGGGTCATGATGTCTAGGCCTACTTTTCCACGAAGTGCCTGTACGACGTCAGAATTCACAATCTGAAAAAAAAAAACACGAATCCACATTATCAACATCGCAATTCCTATGTTTTCGGTGATATTTTTTCAAAAGAATGAACGAAAAAAATATCATAAATACCTCGCTTCTGACCTGTTTTTGTCAGAACCACGATTGCAGTTTTTTTTTTTGTTTCCTTACATTAATTTATTTACTTTGTTGTTGGATTCCATCTTAAATTTAATTCGATCCAGAGTTCATTAACCACAAACCAATTTCACCAAAGAGTTGGTAATGGCCAGATTGCGGAGAAGGTTAAAACGTAGAAATGCAAATTGACTTTTTATGTTTTGGAATGAAAAAATACTATAGGTATTTTGTGAAAAATGATAAGTTGTAACAAATAATCATAAGAATGATAATGATTGCAATAATTATAAAAGTAATAATAATAATATAATACGATGAAGATAAATACTCATAATAAACTATTTCAACACTTGAGAACGTGAATTATTAATCCACAAAACACCGTTAAGTTCAATTGTCTTTTCTGGTTTACCAGTTTAAAAAAAATTAGTAATACATAATAGGCCTACAACAATACTAAACAATAACCACTTCACAAGACATGTTATTAGTATTACTATACATTTATATTTAGTGTTATTATAAGGCACTACTAATATTTTATCCCATATACTAATTTATTAAAATTATTATTATTTTTATGATCATCATTATCATCATCATCATCATCATCATCAGCGATCACCGATGATGTTATGTATATTTAATGTATAATCCATTGAAGTATTGAATCTGAGTCATTACAAAAGAAGAAAAAAAAACACATTTTGATAGCTGTGTCCAGTAGTCGTTGGTGATTTAAACCTACATCAGAAATCAGACAATCGTTAACAATGAATGAAAACTTAAACTGAAGTGCAACATCAAAATATACACGCACAAAACACAAAGTAAACACGTAAGTAAATAAACATAACACTGCGAGTAAACACGAACAACTGTTAATCGTACACACCTCGCCTAGTTTTTGTGTGTGCGCGTCGAAAACGATGCTGCGCAGTGGTATCGAATCGACAAACGTAATCGGAGTTGAACGGGTAGAATCTGTGTTTAAACAGTCGCAGAAATTATAAATGAAACGGTATTGATTTAGCGTCAGTACCAGCTGGCAAACCCGAGAAAACAAGGTGATATGCCGGGTAGTTATCAACAGGTCTACGGGTCTAGGTTTCATTCAACGCAAGAGTTATTTGTTTTTATTACTTTATCCCATACAGAGGCGTTCAATACTTATGACCTCGGTAAACGTTACGGATTTATCGATATGCCGTTTGAAGTTATTTTGTGAATAAAGCATTCCAAATGAAGCGTGATTTAGTTACACGTTAATGTGATAGTTCTGAGTTTTAATAAACTGAGTAATTTAGGAAAGGCACATACAGATTAAACTGCGGTGTTCAGTTAATAATAATTGGAGAAAAATATGGAAATTTATTTTTTAAAACTTAGTTATATTTCTTATTTATTAGATGGTTCAACCATTAAACATAAACTGCTAACATGACAATTGTGAGCTTTTGATTAATATAATAATAATAATAATAATAATAATATCATATTAATAACAAAATATTTGAATAATATTAATAATAATAAGAATAAGAATAATAATAGGCCTATTATAATATTAATAAAATATTTAAATGATAATCATATTAATGATAATAAAAATGATATTGATTATGATAATAATAATGTATGTTCTACTATTTTTAATGATGAACCCCTTGATATGTTAAGTAAACCACTATATACATTTCTATATTAATGTTGGTAAAATGACGACACATATTTAAATAAATCATTCATATTGTCCAGATTGTGTTGTCAAGAAAACTGAAGTACATCGGCTACCGTATCAACATTTAATTACCATATAATTAAATTATAAAATTGGCTTGTATGAACATTCCTTTCAATTTATTCATATACTTGAGGCCTAAATTGAGATGGGTGATGAGTTTATATGTTTGCACTACTCAGCGTGGTGCACAATCGGGTGTGTCGATAGGCCTGGCCAAGCCGTCAGGGAGCTACGGTGAAATCTGCCGGGAAAAATAAAACATGGTGGGGCTGAAGGGGGTGTGGACTTATCTGTCAGGGAACGATCGACCACTTGCTGGAAAAGCCGAAGCCTTCTCTGGCATTAGTCACTAATGATGGGTTTTTGTTAGCCAAAACATGATTATTATTATTATATTAAATCCTTTGTTATTCGTTATTTAAAATGTGATTTGTTTTTCATTATTTTTGGCCATTTGGATCCATACATTATTTTAGTTCCAGTAAATTACCTGTTTGTCCGCTAAGGATCACTGAAAAAACCTCTTTACGTTATGCTAAGGCTCAATTGAATTTTGATCACAATTTTACAAAATAATAGGCCTAAATACAATAATTTTATTCGATTGATATTTACGAGGTATTTAAAATATAAATTATAAACGCAATACTTGTGACAAGGCTTATACATCGATTTATATCTTGACATTTAGATGATTCTGGACTGATAAATACTCAGACTTGATCAATTTGGTTTCGCATTGTATCCCCGCCCGGCCCCCCTACTCAATCTTATTTTTTTTTTTCTAAAAGTGAATTTTCATTTCTGAAGCGAGGAGTTCAGATTGTGAACTCACCCGAACAGTCTTGTAACCGAGATGCCTGATAAATTGAGGTGCAGCGCACTCCGAATTTGTATTTGAATAATTTTCTAATCAATTTTCTTATGGCCTAATATGGGGGTTTATTTTATATTATATAATTATGATAGGCCTATTATTATCTGGTTGTATATTCAGTACCTGTTGTCAGATGTCCAATTTAGTGTAGTGCCATTTTGAACGCACAAGGAATGAATGGTAGGGATGCCCGCACTGTACCGTGTACATTTTAATATCTAGGCATTCGGAAGTTGGTGCCCATGTGAACTGATCTTATAAGCTTTTTTTTTTTGCATAACCTCGTGAACTGTAAATCATTCAACAAGTTGGAAATGAAATATGCGTTCACATGGCGCTGCCTGGCGAATACTGCGATGATGGGATAAACGTCTACCAGGCCTATATACTTGTGATCGGATTTGATTTTCTTCAGAAACAGCTGGCTAAAGCTATTTTTTTCCCACTCGCTTTCTGGTTGCAAGTAGAAAAGACGAGCAGAGCAACCATGTCGAGCAGTTAGCAAGGTGTTTGAATCCAGATAACATCTCTCCACCAAACAAGATACGGAATGCTTGGCCATAAACTTTACGGCTCTCCCCTGCACACTCCCCGTGACGGCGAGTGTTGCCTGGATGGGGAAGGCGTTGACACCGGCGTGTGGTGTGCAAGTGAAATTCCTAACGACCTAGTGTTAGGATCATTCGAAGGGGCGCTGCGTCTGGGGGACGGCATGAAAGATGAACGTCATCGACCATATATGCTGCAGGTATGAAACTTATTTTTTTGCCGACGGAATTTACAGTTTATTTTAGTATAATATTACATTGATATGTGGTATGTATACTTAATTAAGCCTAGTTATATTAGCCGCAGTGTAATGATACACTGGTGCTTAACGGTTTCTTACGATGTTTTGAATTAACCTATCAATGATTAGCTATAATCGCGGGTTAAAGAAATGCGATTAGTAAAGAAGAATAGTTTCTTAAATTGTACAGTGAGATCAACAAGTAGTTTGGATTCTAACAATTGGTAGGTTGAGAAGAATTTTTTTTAACTCAAAGGGAAACCTACAGAGCCCAGAGGGTGTTCTTAGTGCTACCATGATACCCACACTAGACTACTGGACCGAGTAAAACTTCTTTAGACGCTTAAAGATTAGTATAGGTTTTTGTGGGCCTACAGATAGGCTACTCAAGTGTAGAGTTATGACAGGTGCTGTTCTCTCAAGACAGACTGTCTCGACAAAGCAAGGCAAAATAAGCGCTTGTAATCCAACTACTCGACTTTGTACCCCGCTTAGAATCCGCTTAAATGTTGCTTGTTTTATGCTCAACTTAACGAATTAGCAACCGAATGACAAGGTTGGAGCTATTGGTATGCACAACAGCACCGTGGGAACATTTAGGTTCAATTGAAAAGTATGAATAAATGTATTCATCGACACCATTCGTTATAAATATATAGACAGTAAACGAAGAAGTACAGTGAAGTGTTCTCCGCAAACAAAACGTTTTCTATTTAGCTTTACCCCGGTATCGAGCACTCTACTCTACGATCTCGAACCTTATACTTCA